CCAAAAACCCAACCTCAACACTGCCCGCCCTCCCCTTCTTATCCTTATACATCTCAAACGTGTACGTCGCCAATCCAGCGCCCTCGGCAGCACCCCTTGCGTGTCCTAACGAGTCGAATGTGATTTTGAGGGGGGTGGTGCGGGAGAGTGTGCGGAGGGTGGAGAGGGCTTGCGAGGCCTGATAGAAACCGAAAGGAAAGACGGGTAAGTTTGTGTGTGTTTTTTGAGGGGGTGATGTGAAGTGTGGGTTGGGGGTGTAGTAGACGGTAGTCCAGGATAGGACTTACCGCAAGACGTGCGGTTTCGGCTTGTTGTTCGAGGACGGCGGGGGAGGGTTTGCCATTGGTGGCGCTTTGTTTTCCGAGCCCAGTGACAACGACTAGGGGTGGGATCTTTGGATCCTGCACCGAGGACGATAGAGAATCAAGGCCGTATAGACTGCCAAAACCACTATCAGTACTAGAGCACCCCAGCAGCATATTACAGAACACAGTTCAAGAAATTTACAGTCCATACATACACTCGAACTTGACCCTTCTTCCCCGTAAACCTCGTTTTCCGTAAATCAGATTGGATTTGTTCGAGAAGGGCGGAGGAGTTTGTTCCGTACGTATCTGCCACAGTGGACGTGAACGCAAACTCTTTGGCTGGGTCTTTTTGTTGATAGACCTAAGAAATGAAAAGTCACCAAGGTTTTTTTTGAGTATGTTTTCCGGGAATTGGGGAAGGAAATGTGGAAGGGGAGTTTTCCGGGACCAGGACCGGTGCCGTCCGGATCTGGCGGTAAAGGATTTTTCTTCTCTTTCCCTTCCGCTCCCACTCCATCTTTCCCCCCCCCCCCACACACCAGTCACACCACACACACAAACTACCAACACAAGTCCACAGTCAACGAACCCCAATAACAAGCGCCTCAATCGGTTCCGCATTCCCAATCTTCTCCCTCCCGTTTCCATTAGGTTCCGCAGACTCCACCGACGGCACCGATGCAAAAGACCGGGAGATCAACCCCGAAGATCCTGCAACCCTCGCTTTCGAAGAGGCTAGAGAGGACAGTCTCAGAGTCTGTGGTGAGAGTGTAGAGCAGAGATGAGTGGATCTTGAGCATCGTAGGAGGGTTAATGATGGAGTGAGGGAAAGGGAGCGGGTGGAGCGGGATGAAAGGGCCCGGAGGGGCGTGAGGGTGAGACGGGGTGGCGGTGGCATTGGGTGTGGGGAACGTTGAGGAGGTGGATCTTGAGTTGTTCCGTTTCGTAACGCAGGGTAGTTCAAGCTGTCGGGGAAGGACCAGGTTCTAAACTCAAGTGATGCGCGCAGTGAGGCGAATTTCCAGTCCTAACGGCTTAAGTACGGCTTACAAGTAGATGGGTGGACGTCCCCAAACCCGAACCAAACCCTACACTCAGCTCTGGTACGTCAAGATATCGCTGAAAGAGTCTCTCAGATACACATTCGTTCATGTAAACTTTTGAAAGGCTGGTACATGTAGTTAAGCGAAGCAATTGCGTACACATAGGAACAGCAAGACGACTTGAAATGTTTTGAACACGCTCGCCCTCAGATCGTTGGCTGACGTTGACGGAGCGACGGTATTTCAGTTGATTCCTACATGCTCCGCAAGCGCAAGGGTGCAAAAAAAGAGTCCAGACTTCGTCACACTTACAAGACAACAGAGCATTGCATCCTTCCAGCCCGACGTCGCGCTCAGCAACCTTACCCGCGTCCGCATCCGAACCCTGGCGTTTCAAGGACACCTACATCCTCGAAAGCTGTCGCAGTGCTCCTCCGTCCACCGTGTTCACAGTCCTTGACTCCCTCGAACAGCGCCATTTCAAGGATTTCTTCCAAGCCGCCATTCACATCCTGGCCGACTCGGAACAAGGAACAGCCCGACTTCGCACCTTGTCGGAGAAAGCTCGCACGCCATGGATTCTTTGGATCACGAGCTGGCACTCCAACACGGCTCAACAACTAACGTCCGACCCCCAACAGCTCTCGACCACCTCGAACACGTTCTATTCAAGCAATTCATCTTCAATACGCTTAGCATCAGCACCGGTCCGTCCGTCCAGGACTCTGAAGGTCAAAACCGGGCGGCAGACCAACTCAGTACTTTATCGACAATGGCGAGGTACATCAAGAGGTCGTTGGGCTGCCCTTCTTCAATTCACCTCCCCGTCGAAGTCGATTGTCAAGGGGTGGGGAAAAAAGGAATTGGCGCTCGTCGTGCACGTCAACAAAACATGGTACTGTGCCGCCCCACCGCTTCTTTGGAGCGACGTGCAACTCGAACGGGATCTGTACATCTTCCTCAGCTCCGCCATCAGAAGTTGCAAAGCACCAATTTGCTCAGGGATAGCTTCACTTCGCACGCTGGAATTCGATCTTGATTGGCACTCGCACTCGAAGGAATGGCAAATACTCGCGCAAAATCTCAACCTCTTCCCCAACCTGCGTGAACTAGTGCTGTACAATGTTAACTCGCCGGACGATCTCTCAGTGTTGTTCAATCAGCGTCTGGATTCATTGAAAGCACTGACAATCAACACGTTTGATGAAGAATGGGATGTGTGTGATTACGGGCCATCAGTTGACCGCAACCGCATTCGGGACTTCTTTTCGAAACTTATGTCATTCAACTTGCGCAACAACCGTTTTTTGGCCTACAATGTCGAATGTTCAGTCCTCATGGACGCAGCCCATCAACAACTTCAGGAAATCTGGTTTCCAGAAACTGTCACCAGAATATTGACAACCAGGTTCTTTCAAAGGTGCCCCGATCTCTTGGTGGTGGGCTTGTTCACTCCTGAACTTTTGAATGAAGCATTGGGTCCCTTGGTGGAGCATTGCCCTCGTTTAAGGGCGCTCTTCATTGAGAGCTTCTATCTGGACGGTCACGTCGATAACATGCCGAAGGGGTTGGAACATGGGTTGGAAAATCTCGGGCGTCAACTGGTGGCCCTACACTTGCAATTGGGATGTGCGGAGAACCCGGGTGAAGAGAGTGCAAGGGTGCTGGGGTCCATTGCTAACCACTGTCGGGCACTTGAGTGGCTGGATATCTCTGGAATCGTGTTAACGTTGGCAGATACACCAAAGGACTGGGTCACACCAGAGGTTCTGGTTGAAAAATGCGGCCGCACGTTCAAGTTCCTCACCCTTGATGTAGTCACGGATCATATCATCGAGAATCCATTTAATCATCGTCAACTTCAGCCCATCCAGGCGGAGCGCGAAGCTTGGTTGGAGAACTTTGTTGGAAAAGTGGTTGGGCGCCACTGCCCGGGCCTTCGGGGACTTCAGGTGTATATGCCCCGGCCCGCATTACGGTCACGGCCTCTTGCTTGCACAGAGCTAGCCAGCCTTCTCCAACAAACTCCGCGTCTGATGGGCATAGGATGGTGTGTTGGACCAGGACGCACTCCGAGCGAGTAACAAGTACCCTCAATTGAAGGCAAGGTTAAAGGCCATTTTTGATGGGACGGAAGAGTATGTCACTCTGCACCGTTACGACGATCATGACACTCTGCTCAAAGCGTAGAAAGGCGATACTTCAACCATGCTACGTACTGCTAAATGTACGGGAGCTTGAGCCCCCTGTTTCTGGCCATTCTGTCCATGCATCCCAAATTCTTGGGTCAATTATCTTTTTATCTTACCTTGTTGGTTCCATTTCTTTCCATATCAACCTCAATCGAAATCTACATGCATATGAGTCATCTTCTTTTCGCTTTTTCCGTTTCTCCTGTCAAATGTCTGTGTGTCATTACCGTGTAATCGATCAGTTCCCGCAGTTTCATGACATACACTCGGTCTCCACGAACCTACAATGTCAAATGTTGTGACATCCATTTGCCAACGAGCACATTCAAGAGGATGGAGTCAGGTGTATTACGTTCGTTGTACAGAACTCGGGGAGGGAAAGAAAAAATGATTCTACTTCCACATTTAAGCGGCACGTGTCCGGGGCATGTTGGGGGAAAGAGGAAAACAAATTATCGCAATCTGAGACTCCACGCAAAAGCACCCTTACCTTCGCCTCAAAGAAAACTCAAAAACCGCGTCCAGAAATGATGCATGCTTTCCATCGAGTGACTTTTCACACCGGTCAAATGAACTGCCAGTGATCGTGATAACCATGGCGAGGGATCTCGTAGTTGAGCAAACGGTCCCAAACTCCCTGAATTTCCAGTCCGATTGAACTTGAGGGTACTTATGGAGTGTTTGCCACAATCACATGGTGTTATCTGAAACTGGGTTCAGAAATGATCAATTATGTACTTGTGTGCGCCAAAAACTAACCATAAGGGAATCAACAAACATATTTATGGTAATTGCCCTGCATCATGGAAATCAAACCAGAGACATGGAAGTCAAACCAGTGACGGAGTTCTGGACTACGGTCGCGGAAAAGGGGGAAAACAATACACAACACTCGTCCCCATGCCACTCAAAGTGGTAACGAAACAAAAGTTCAAGCCAACGGGGAGGAAAACAGGATAATTGAAACACCAAAAATACGGTCGCGGAAAAGGGGGGAAAACAATACACAACAGTCGTCCCCATGCAACTCAAAAGTGGCAACTAAACAAAAGTTCAAGCCAACGGGGTGGAAAACAGAATAAATGAAACACCGAAAAGGACAATTCATACTGATGAGTGAAGAAATAATGCTCCGACTCAGGATCGAACTGAGGACCTTGTGCGTGTGAAGCACACGTGATAGCCACTACACTATCGGAGCTTGAAACATCTGAGAAATATTTATTTTATGTTTTGTAATAAAGACTTATCAGTTCTTTTTTAACGTTTCAACTTGCTTGTTCTCGTGATACGAAAATTCAACTCAGAAGAATAAAAAAGCTTTGGTCTTGTTGCTAGTCCTTCGAATTTCAGGGAGATCCACGCCATGGAGGTGGCGACCTCCCTCAACTCATTCAACTCGATCATCGTCCAGCCATCAACTCTCTTCTCGTCCGTTCCCTCCTGAATTCAGCGATGCTACCTTCCTGCCTGCCTTCCCGCCTCACCAGCACCAGACTCTTGTCTGTACTATTCGGACGAGCCACGATCCGTCCACCCTCAACAGCAACAACAGCACACCCTTTCCGCCTTACGGCAGCCTCATATAGTTATAATAGTAACAAAGGAGGGGGTGGATCTAGTGTGATTGACGGGAGTCAGGAAAGGGGTCGGTACAGGGGTTACTGGGACCTGATACTCGAACAACCCCGGCCAGCGCAAGATCCTGGATCACCTTGTAATGTCCCAGAGAACTACGAGGAACTTGACTCTGTGAAAGCCGAATCGAATAGAACCCCGATCGCACCGACCTCGTCAACCCTCACTCCCGGAAGCAACTCTCACGTTGAGACTTCAAAGCACCATTCTTCAGCCCCCTTGCAACAGGGTTCACAGAATGGCGAGGTGAACGACGTGGAAGAAGCTGATGATGAGGAACCACTCGTACCCCCTGAACCTCCATCAGACTCTGACTGTTGCATGAGTGGTTGCGTGCACTGGTAAGAATATGCCCGTTGCCAGATCTTCCTTGTTGAAACATTTCCTTCATGGAAGCCGTGCTCACTTTTCGTGGTTTGCTTCTTCTCTTCACCTTCTAGTGTATGGGACATATACCAAGAAGATCTGGAAGAGTATCAAGCCAAACTCAAGGAACGGAAGGAGCGAAGGCGGGAAAGAGTGGAGAAACACGGGCATCATACGTTCCAGGATGGGGATCGAGTGAGGAGGGAAGCGGATCAGGATGGAGACGAGGATGGGGTAGGTGATGGTGGAGTGGGTGGAGTGGAGATGGATCCGTCGATGAAGGCGTTTTTGGAACTCGAGAAGAAGTTGAAATTGGGGTGAATTGCGTTGGTGATGGGGTCGTGATGGGGTGGGAGGCCGGGTGAGAGCGCCCACAAAAAAGGCGCGGCGGATGGATGGAAGGCAAATAGGCAGAGTCAGGATTGTAGGCCGGGTTCCTTCAACGCATAAAACACACTGTTATCATGATCATATATATATATAGTCGCTACATAGTCGCGCATGGGGCTCCAAACGGGGTATTACCCGTGGTCAGATCCAAGAGCTTCAGAGCGCCACTGGCCACTGGTGGTATGGACATGGCAAATAATATTTGGCTTTGGGTTTTTGTTTTGATTCTCATGCATTGAGAGAGCTTGAGCTCGCGTGACATGGGTGAGGCATGGTGTGCGAGTTGTGTGTGCAAGCGTGACTTTTGGTGAAACAAGGACCTCAAACTCCGACCACAACTCCGACTTGACTTTGTCTCGTGACTAAGAACCCACTTGCTTTTGAATCAAGTCTAGACCAGCGCTCTGGCCTCTATGGAATCCTTGCAATCCTGAAGGCAATCCCAATCCACTTGGGAAGGTAAGAACTGTACGCTTCTCAAAGTGCGTCGAAAGCCACAATTGAAATTGCATTCAGCACAGAGGTTACTTTCGCAAAAGTCTCCCTTTGGAAACTGACTACCTCGCTTCCTTCTCTGTTCACTGCACGAATCTACCATCCCAGTTTTCTGAATAAAACCTCATCCACAACCTCAAAGTCTGGAGCTGATCTCACTCTGTTCCGCAGTGATCACCGGGTACCTCATACAAAGCGCACCACCGTAACTACGCAACAGCTTTCCCCCACGAACAACACCCCTTTACCTCAACGACGATACCTCACTTCAACTCAGATTTCAACTCCCAAGACACAGCGAACATCTATACTTCTGACTCCGACTTTGTTGTGAACCATGAAGCACATGCCCCGCTTCAAGCTCGGGTTCTTGGGCGGAATTTTCCGGAGAAAGCGTAGTGGCAGCGATGCACGCAAGAGAAGCGATGTAAACAGCCACACGGATAATGGGAATCACCCTCAACTTCAACCTCATCTGGACAATCTTCAAACTGCATGCGAGTCAGAAACCATGAAGCCTCCCTCAATATCGCATATCGATATAACCTTCCCGAATTCATCATTGGACTTGAAGAACAATTATCCCACGGCACCTGCTCACTTGTCGTCTTCAATGACGAACACGCAACACCATGACGTCGCCATCACTGCCACGTCCGCCATCATACCACCTGATCATGATCTTGTCACTGTTGACGACTGCAGCTCAAATTCAAAAGATCCCTCACCCTCGTCTGCACCCTCCAACTCCGAATCCATAAGTGCACGATCTTTTTCAGACCATAATGACGTCGAGATCTCATCACAATCAGAAGAGCGACAAAAACTGCTGTATTCCTCCTCTTCCTCCTCTTCACACTTGAATTCCTCGGAGAAGTCATTTGAGAAGGAAAATGACGTCGGGGATGACGGACATCACGAAGGTCACGAAAAGCAGGAAGATCAAGACGAAGAAGAAGAAGTTTTATTTCGACGAGAAGATCTACCCGCCGCACCAACATTCTCGAGAATCGTTATGATTGCGGTGGACAAATCGGATTACAGCGAGTATGCTTTTACGTGGGCTATCAAGAATGTGATTAGACTTGAATCGGATCAGGTCGTTGTGATTAATGTGCGGCCGGTACTTTCGCTTGTGGGGCCATATGGTGGGTGCACGTGGAATTGTATGTGTGTTTGTGAGTTTTGTCTTTGCTATATGATTAATGGGATTGATGTTCCTTGGTTTCGTTTTAGGAATGTACACGTATGTTGATATGGAAGGTGAGTTTTCTACGATATTGCATTTCGTTCGTAGTCAAAGTAAAGAGTAGCTTTTTTAATGTTCATCCCGTCCTTTGCAGCGATTGTCAAAATGGAACAGGAGGTAATCATTCCCGGATGGCCAGATCTTGAGTGAAAATATTTCTTCTTTTCAAACGAGTCACCGCCCGCAATATACTAATCTTTGTACTTACAATAGAATAAAACTGAATCTCACCGGCTTCTGAGGGACTTTTTGATTCGGCTACAGAAGAGAAAGGTAAGAGTGCTAATCGCTTGAAATGGAATGAGTTGAGCGAGGGGTTTGGGCGCGACGGGTGCCAAGGAGGGGGTCGAAACACGTTGCCTTTCTTTCGGAAACCTCCTTTCCCTGCGGTAAAAAGCCTCACGAACCCTATTCCATCCCATCAAATGAAAACACAAACAGGTTGCATGCAGAGCCATTGCAATGCGTGGAGACGCTCGTGGTGCCATCATGCGCAAAGTGGAGGAACTTGATGCGGATATATTGATTGTGGGGTCGAGGGGCCTGGGTGGGGCGTTGCAGAGGTGGGTGTTTCTTTCATCTTTCCCTCATTTCTTGGGAGGAGGTTGCATCAAAAATGAGGGGGGGCGGAGGCTCGGTAACGGAGTTCTGCGTCACTGAAAGCGAAAGTGATTGCACTCCGATGTTTTCCGCGTTCTTCAGACGTTCTTCACATCTACTTTGAAAATCACCTTCTCACCCTCTTTTCTCACACCCGGGCACCACCTTCTAGAACCCTGATGGGCTCCGTCTCCGATTTCTGCATCCGAAACATCCAAACAGCAGTCATCGTCCCTCGCGAGAAACCAAACAACCATTCCAACTCTCGCAACCCTCCCCATCATCATACACACAGTCGTGATCGTGAGCATAGGGAAGCACAGCGGCGGGGAAGGCAGCAAGCTCATCATCATCATCAACATGTAGGTGGGCGAGGTCGAGCGCGAGAGCCTGAGAGGGAAAGGGGTGATCATGAACAGCGTGGGGGAAGGAGGGGCGTAAGTGCGGGGAGAGTTGCGTATGGGTTTGGGGAGGAGGCGGACGGGTATGGTAGTGGGGGAGAGAAAATGGCGGTTTGGTCGGGATCGGAGTGATGATTCTGGGGGGTGGGATTGACATTGGTATGCTGGGGATGAAGAGAGTGAGATTTCGTGTGGGTGTCTGTCGGGTGCCTCATGATCATTTTTCGGCCTCATCTTGATCGTTCTCGGCACGTTTCGTGTGGGAGGATGGTAACTGAAATGTCTTGGAGAAAAGAGCGTACTTCCACTGCTGATCTCGTTTGTGATTAGGCTGGGGATAGTTTTCTGGTGAGGTTTTTATAATTGATGTTGCGAAGTTGTTCTTGATATTACACATTCATCGGCTTGATCCCGTTTTATCAGGGGCGGGAGGGAGGAAGGGGGTTATTTATTCTTAGGTGGAACTTTTTGAATTTGTGTCCTCTTCTTTCAATTCTTTTTGAAGTTGGCTCGTCTAATCGAGTACGTTTGTATCGTTGGGAGTGTTTTCTATGGGGGGAAAGAAAAGTTTGGTGTCCTTGAATGCAAGATAACTCTTGACTATCAGTTTTCTTTGAAAGAAAGGGTGGGGGA